TCATCTATCCCAATTTTGCGTGGATCGATGCTCATGATAACGATCACTGGATTGTCTGGTCCAAACCCGATTATTTACAGACCGCTGTCATATAGCTCGAATATTGCTTGGAGCGGCGTTAAACAACAAACAAACAAACGGTCTTGAATTTAAAATTCAAAAGTATTGATTCTTCATGTTTTAATCATTCAAATGGATCACAGATGCCTTGTTTATGTTTCTTACTGGAAAGTTATCGTTTGTGCTTCTGTAATATTCATTAGTCATCTGCAACCATAACAGCCACCATGCACAAGTTGTATACGGCCCAAGGCGCCATTGTCAGATAACAATAACACCCCACCATGTGGTAAGTATTCCTGCTGCCTAACACTTGCAGAGCAGGCAGTACATGAGGATGTGGAGGCTCGTCTTGTACAGTGGTGTAAGGCGCTGCAGTTCGCTGTGCAGGGTGGCGGCCCTGATGTGTGACAGAAACCTTGGGTTTAAGATCTCCATCATGTCAGGCTTTCTTCCTGTGTTAAGCTGACATGCCTTGATATGACTAAATAAATAAATATTGTTCAAAGCACCCAATACACTCTCTCACTCACTCACTCACCCAATACACATACATCCACTCACTCACCCAACACATCCACACATCCACTCACTCACCAACCCACTCACTCACTCACTCACCCATTCACTCACTCACACATTCACCCAATCACTCACTCACCCAGGTATTCACTCACTCACTCACTCAACCAACACTCATACATCCACTCACTCACCCACCAACCCACCCACTCACCCACTCACTCACTCACTCACTCATTCACTCACTCACATTCACCCACTCACTCACTCACCCAGGTATTCACTCACTCACTCAACCAACACTCATACATCCACTCACTCACCCAACACATACACACATCCACTCACTCACTCACTCACTCACTCACTCACTCACTCACTCACATACCCGCCTAAGCAAACAACCCACTCACTCACTCACTCACTCATACCCACCCAAGCAAACAACTCACTCACTCACCCACCCACCCAGTCACTCACTCACTCACTCACTCACCCACAACTCACTCACTCACTCACTCACTCTGTTGAAATGCCGGTGTACCTGACCTCCCCATCACCACAGACCCGATGACTAAAGCATGTCAATATTGATAAGCCATGACTCACCGCCACAAAGGCTGATAATGTGATATTAATCTGCTGATAAGCGATGCAGTGCAAACAGGGAGACCGATGAAGCATGCTGGAGGCTGACTGACATCCCATCCCATGTTCCCATGTCTGCGAGACCAATGCTACTTCGTCTCCAACCAAGCAGGGAAAACGTTTGCCAAAGATCAGAATTCCCATTTATGAAAATAAAACTTTCCCCATCAACGTCTCCTTAAGTTGAATTAGGATAACAGTGATGTTGGGTTGTCAACGGACGCAGTTAGCACAACACTCGCTGGCTGGGAGGTGCTTCGTGTGTTTCATTGACACTGATGTGTGTACTGAACTGGTAAAGTCGGGGCAAAAATATCCAACTTGTCCACTGAACAAGATGCGGTGATTCATGCCTCTCTTTTGCCGATGAGGCTAATGAAATTGGAACTTTTTTAATTTTGAATTTGTCATTTCTTCCCATTTTCGATTTGTCATAATTAGAGAAATGGTGTGTGTGTGTGATGGTGCAAGGGGACAATTGGATTCTGTGAGTTCCACTGAGGCATGTTGCTAATGAATCATGCTTGTGATTCCTATCATCTGGTTGGTGTTGGACATTCAACAGTACGGTCGAATAAAGGGGGACTGTATCCTCATATTGCCTGGTCGGTTTCCCTGCGGGAGTAATGAGTTCATTTTGTTGTGGGGCGGTCGGGTAGCCTAGTGGTTAAAGCGGTCGCTCGTCACGCCGAAGACCAGGGTTCAATTCCCGACATGGGTACAATGTGTGAAGCCCATTTCTGGTGTTCCCCGCCGTGATATTGCTGGAATATTGCTAAAAGCAGTGTTAAAACCAAACTCACTCACTCACTCTTTTCCACTTTCTTTCCTCCTCTACCTCCTTCCTTCTATACCTTTTGCCTTTTCACCTTCCTTCCTCTTTCCTTCAAATATTGCTTCTCAGGTTTCTAGTCTCAAGGAAACCATTGAACAGACAAGACTTGTGGCCAAGCTCAAATATTGCTTCACATGTTTCTAGTCTCAAGGAAATCCTTGAAAAGACAAGACTTGTGGCCAGGCTCGAATATTGCTTCACAGGTTGCTAGTCTCAAGGAAATCCTTGAACAGAAACAGACAAGACTTGTGGCCAGGCTCGAATATTGCTTCACAGGCTGCTAGTCTCAAGGAAATCCTTGAACAGACAAGACTTGTGGCCAGGCTCGAATATTGCTTCACATGTTTCTAGTCTCAAGGAAATCCTTGAAGAATCAGTCTTCAGCTACCCATGCTTGTTTTATAAGCTGAGGTAGTCAAACTTGCTGACTTGGTTGATGCATGTCTTTGTATCCTAATTGCATGGATTGATGCTGATGATATCAATCTCTTGATTGTCTGGTCAGACTCGATAATTAACAGACCACCATCATATAGCTGGAATATTGCTAAATAACGTAAAATTATATCAATTACTGGTTTGTGTGGCCCAGACTCAGTGATTTAAAAGCTGGAATGGGGGCATGGGTGGCCCAGTCGTCTAAGGCGCCACGTTTCACTGTGCAGAGTCGCGTCCCTTGGGCACGCCAGAAACCTATGATTGTGGGTTCGAATCCCGGTTCCCCAAATTATGTTTCGTCCCGATTATGTTTCTAGGTTTGTCAGCACCATACCCGTACTCATGGGTTTCACCGAAGTGGTAAACGTCTAAGACCTGCATCACTTCAGGCTTTCCTCCCACATTAAGCTGACACGTAACGATATAACTGGAATACTGTTAAAATCGGCGTTAAACCCAACTCACTCACTTACTATATGACCAATACCCTTGGCCCATAAGCCACCAAAGCTTTGGTGAGGAAGTGACGTCACCAGCTCCATCTCTCTTAACACTAACTCAGCACAGAATTTATCTCGCTCATGCACTTCGTATCAACAAGAATGCAACTTCGTCATAGATCTCCATTCAAACCGCGGCCTTTTCTCATAGTTCCTTTCCAAGTTAGCACACACATTTAAAAAAGTAGCGACATGGTAGTACCAAACTTTTAATAAGCATTATATAGTCAGATATGACTCAAGTATAATATGTTTGTTTTTGTTTGTTGTTTAATGCCGTACTTAGCAATATTCCAGCTATATGACGCGATCTGTAAATAATCGACAATCCAGTGATTAGTATCATGAGCATCGATCCACACAATTGGGATTCAATGACATGCATCAACCAAGTCAGCAAGCATGACCACCCGATCCCGTTAGTCGCATTTTACGTCAAGCTGGAATATAGCCGAGTGCAGCATTTAGCAAGAAACAGATTATCAAACATGACATGAGGCAGGTTATCTCACCACAAACATAGATCATGTCTGGCTTCCTGAATAATTAGGTGTAGACTTTGCTCCAGGGAACTACGGATGAAAGCTTGGAGAAAGAAATATATCCTTGTATGTCCCATTACATATAAATGATCATTCAGGATCTGTTATCAACCTGACAGATCTCTTGTTGTCAAGGTCATCTTGACCTAGGGAGGACAAAAGACTCGGTCATAACAGTCATTCAAACACTACCAAAACACTGGCTGTCATCTAACTGGAATATGAATATACGACTCCTCTTTTGATAGGGATGATCCTAGAAGTCAGATATATTTAAATATACACTTGACATATGAGCATCTGTTTTATGTATCAATGAAAAATAAAAACATCTCTATCAAAATGGCGGTATAAAGATCAGTTTTCATTGTTTAAAGTTCAGATAAATTCCAGCCAGACTGACGGACAAATATGTCAAATAAATTGCCGTTTTTAAATTTTAAAATGTTGCCAGCCCAAACATATTTACACTGGACTGAAGACAAATAAATACAGATGAGACTAATTTTCCTCAATCACAAAGTTAGGCCGGGGATATAGAAACGGATCATCCGTCCATCTTTCTGCTTCCCAAAGGGGACAAATTTTCTCAAAAACTGACTAAGTCAGAGAGATGAAATTTTACTCACTGATGTTACTGGTCAGGATCTCAAATGAGTTTGAAAATTGGTGTCGTGAATTCATTTTCTACAGAGTTATGGCCCTTGCTCCGTGCTTTTCAACTTTGTGCATACTGTGTGAAATAGGGACAAGTTTTCTAAAAAATTATACTGAAGTTACACAAAAAAAATTTGCATGCTTATCTAAGAGATACTTGTCAAGACTGAGTTAAACATTGGTCCCTTCACTTTCTTTTTTTACAGAGTTATGGCCCTTGATCCATGTTATTTAACTTTGTGTATAGTGGGTGCAATGGGGACAAGTTTTCTCAGAAACTTCTGAAGTTTGCTTATCCAAGAGATACTTATGAGTAGGTATGGCAAGTTCCTGCCATTAACAACTATCAGGCCATTACCTGAATGCCGCGCCCTATAAGTTAGTATCCTTCATATCATTAACTCTTTCATCACTGGCTGCCCCAGAGTTATGTCCCTTGAGACCCTGCAGTCCCTGACACTGACAAGGCCTGTACACTGGCCTCCCTGGCAGTATTATTGGAAAATCACACTATCATTTTTGATGCACTTTTTCTACCAGAAACTTGCTTTTAATATACATTTATCATATACCATTGTAAAGAGGATTAAGTATACTTTAATATTCTTTGTTGTTATTGTCTCTAACCTTTGTTATTTTCTAATTACAGGTGTTTACAAGTGAAATAAAACTTGAAAACACTGAAAAAATGAAAACAGACAATGAATTTTGGCTCAAATTGTATTACAAATCACAAAAATAACTCACAGATACAAGGTAAACATAACACAGTGGTCTTGTCATCTTGGACGGCACAGGTAATCCCAGGTGTTACAGGTAAATTCTCTTCATGCACATCTGTAAACAAATAAACAAGTTTACAACTCTTGGTACTGACTTTGTTTTCTATACTGATGTCACATATTACTTATGATACACTTACAGCCTCTTAGGTAAACTCGTTAACACAGGTAAACTTGTTAACGCAGGTAAACTCGTTAACACAGGTAAAAACACAAATATTTGATTTATTTTGTTCTTTTTCAGGATTTGAAACAAAAATTAAGTTTTTAAGTTTTTAAATAGTAATTTATCACATTACCTGAACATTGAACCACAGCTCCTATAAGAATGACATCACAGAGAAGATATCACAGATTGATCTGAAAGGAGGGAAAAATTGTAAAAGGACGGAAAGATCGTAAATTCAAGTTCTGCAAATATACAAGTTGTGATAACATATTTACAATACACTGTTATTTACAATTGCATAATAAATTAAATCAGAACATTATTACATCAATTAATAAATAAATAATCATTACAGTTACTAAAATTTAAATTAAGATGTAAAAAACAAGAAAACAAACATGAATATGGAAATAAATTTATTCAAATTGAGCGAAATATAAGGACATACGACAAACCGGCAAACTACAATTCGGATTGCGATCAGAAACTTAAATTTTAAAAAAAAGAAAGAGATACGTCATGCCATTCACCTTTGTTGTTGTTGTGATCGCTCGTTCACCTGTAGGCTGCATTCTCATTCGTCGCACTGATAATCTGTTCAAACACAGAATCATTGTAAAACAGTTGGAAAAAATCAATAGCACGATATTTCACTCACCTTGTCAATATATATTCTTGAGTCCGGTCGCCTCTTCAAAATCCCTCATGTCTCCACCGTTGTGGTCCCTCTGCCACTCCCATTCTTGAAAGTTGGCAGGGGGGGGACACCTCGTCGAAACCGTCAAAATCTTCACCAAAATCTTCACGAAATTCCCTCTCCCCTTCACGTAAATTATTCAAATCAAACACATTATTATTCCCGATAGAGTCGTTGTTAGTCATCTGATCGCTATCCGAATCGTAGTTGGCCGCCATTACGCTAGATTTACGATTCAAGCGAGAAAAATACCTGTCGCGAAAACAGGTGACATTTGCGATTTTCGCGCCAAAAAGACTGGGAAATTCCATCGAAAGACGTGTAAATCACGTGTAGATCTCGTTTCCATATTTAGAACGAGATTACACACGAGAAAGGAAGTTGAAAGAGCGATTTTGTAAACACGGTCGCGCCGCCCAATTTATCGGGCAGCCGTGTGTGGGGCTTGGACAATAGCCGCCCGATTTTTCGGGCAGCCGGGTACTGGGACAGTCTGGGCGAAAGGGTTAACTAAAGGTTCTTGGGAAAACTATTAAAATATCAGTACAACTTTTGCAATATCAGTACCATGAGGGGAGGGGCAGTCTTTGTGAACATGTGTGGTGTATTCTGGTGTAGGGGGTTGTGTAGAGGAAGGGGGTGGTGTCTTTGTGAATATGTGGGTGATGTAGGGTGTTGTGGGTGGGTGGGAGAGTCTTTGTGAACATGTGTGTGGTGTATTCTGGTGTAGGGGTGGGGGGGGGGGGGTGGGGGGTTGGGGGGGAAGTCTTTGATAACGTGTGTGGTGTATTCTGGTGTAGGGGGGTTGTGTAGGGGGAGGGGGAGTCTTTGTGAACATGTGTGTGTTTTCTGGTGTAGGGTGGAGGGGGAGTCTTTGTGAACATGTGTGTGGTGTATTGTGGTGTAGGGGGGGGGGGGGGGGGGGGGAGTCTTTATTAACATGTGTGTGGTGTATTCTGGTGTGTGTGTGTGTGGGGGGGGGGTATTCTGGTGTAGGGTGGAGGGGCAGTCTTTGATAACATGTGTGTGTGGGGTATTCTGGTGTAGGGGGGAGGGGGGTCTTTGTGAACATGCGTGTGGTGTATTCTGGTGTAGGGGGAGGGGCAGTCTTTGTGAACATGTGTGTGATGTATTCTGGTGTAGGGGGGGAGGGGCAGTCTTTGTGAACATGCGTATGGTGTATTCTGGTGTAGGGGGGAGGGGCAGTCTTTGTGAACATGCGTGTGGTGTATTCTGGTGTAGGGGGAGGGGCAGTCTTTGTAAACATGTGTGTGGTGTATTCTGGTGTAGGGGGAAGGGACAGTCTTTGATAACGTGCGTGTGGTGTATTCTGGTGTAGGGGGAAGGGGCAGTCTTTGTGAACATGCGTGTGGTGTATTCTGGTGTAGGGGGAGGGGCAGTCTTTGTGAACATGTGTGTGGTGTATTCTGGTGTAGGGGGAGGGGCAGTCTTTGTGAACATGCGTGTGGTGTATTCTGGTGTAGGGGGAAGGGGCAGTCTTTGTGAACATGTGTGTGGTGTTTTCTGGTGTAGGGGGGAGGGGCAGTCTTTGTGAACATGCGTGTGGTGTATTCTGGTGTAGGGGGAGGGGCAGTCTTTGTGAACATGTGTGTGGTGTATTCTGGTGTAGGGGGGAGGGGCAGTCTTTGTGAACGTGTGTGTGGTGTATTCTGGTGTAGGAGGGAGGGGCAGTCTTTGTGAACATGCGTGTGGTGTATTCTGGTGTTGGGGAGGGGCAGTCTTTGTGAACGGGTGTGTGGTGTATTCTGGTGTAGGGGAGGGGCAGTCTTTGTGAACGGGTGTGGGGGGTATTCTGGTGTAGGGGGGAGGGGCAGTCTTTGTGAACATGTGTGTGGTGTATTCTGGTGTTGGGGAGGGGCAGTCTTTGTGAACGGGTGTGGGGGGTATTCTGGTGTAGGGGGAGGGGCAGTCTTTGATAACATGTGTGTGGTGTATTCTGGTGTTGGGGAGGGGCAGTCTTTGTGAACGGGTGTGGGGGGTATTCTGGTGTAGGGGGAGGGGCAGTCTTTGATAACATGTGTGTGGTGTATTCTGGTGTAGGGGGGGAGGGGCAGTCTTTGATAACATGTGTGTGGTGTATTCTGGTGTAGGGGGGGAGGGGCAGTCTTTGATAACATGTGTGTGGTGTATTCTGGTGTAGGGGGAGGGGCAGTCTTTGATAACATGTGTGTGGTGTATTCTGGTGTAGGGGGAGGGGCAGTCTTTGATAACATGTGTGTGGTGTATTCTGGTGTAGGGGGAGGGGCAGTCTTTGATAACATGCGTGTGGTGTATTCTGGTGTAGGGTGGAGGGGCAGTCTTTGTGAACACGTGTGTGGTGTATTCTGGTGTGGGGGGGAGGGGCAGTCTTTGTGAACATGTGTGTGGTGTATTCTGGTGTAGGGGGGAGGGGCAGTCTTTGTGAACATGCGTGTGGTGTATTCTGGTGTAGGGGGGAGGGGGAGTCTTTGTGAACATGTGTGTGGTGTATTCTGGTGTAGGGGGGAGGGGCAGTCTTTGTGAACATGCGTGTGGTGTATTCTGGTGTAGGGGGGAGGGGCAGTCTTTGTGAACATGTGTGTGGTGTATTCTGGTGTAGGGGGGAGGGGGAGTCTTTGTGAACATGCGTGTGGTGTATTCTGGTGTAGAGGGGAGGGGGAGTCTTTGTGAACATGCGTGTGGTGTATTCTGGTGTAGAGGGGAGGGGCAGTCTTTGTGAACATGCGTGTGGTGTATTCTGGTGTAGGGGGGGAGGGGCAGTCTTTGTGAACATGTGTGTGGTGTATTCTGGTGTAGGGGGGGAGGGGCAGTCTTTGTGAACATGCATGTGGTGTATTCTGGTGTAGGGGGGAGGGGCAGTCTTTGTGAACATGTGTGTGGTGTATTCTGGTGTAGGGGGGGAGGGGCAGTCTTTGTGAACATGTGTGTGGTGTATTCTGGTGTAGGGGGGAGGGGCAGTCTTTGTGAACATGTGTGTGGTGTATTCTGGTGTTGGGGTGGTTGCAAAGGGGTGGGACAGTCTCACACAACTCATATTCCCATGCTGGATGATGGCTGTGGAACATTCTTCTCCATCAAATCACATGGGGGGGGATATCATCTGTCTCCAACTGCAGTAGACTTGGTGTTGATGGGGAAGGAGTTAGTAGTTCAGGTCCCGCGTGTAGTTCCAGATCCATCAGCTTCTCATCAAGGGGGACTAGGGAATTCCCCCGATCAGTCTGATTCACCACTACCTGATTGATGTCTAGCTAGACCTCATTCGCTTCAGTCGGACCTTCTCCACTGCATAGCAAAATATTTAGATTGTCTTGTGGGACGTATCGCTATACCTTTTTAATCAACTGCGGAGCCTGCATGACTGATGACTCTTCAGTGGTGAGCAACCCTTCTGTTTGTCAATGAAGGATGTTACTTTCTGTGTTGGTTAATAAAAATGACCTTATATATATTTAATATTGGCCTTGGGTATGTCCATGGAACTTGTGCCATGTGTATAGTCACCTGTGGCAGAATGAATAATCTCATGCAATATTCATCATGTTCATTTTCTTGAAAAGTTTAACCCATGGGAGTTCTGGGATTGACAACGTCCCTGGAAACTTGTTGCCTTTTGGCTCATTGATCTCATGGGTTGCTAGAAAATCCTTGAGCAGACAAGACTTGTGGCCTGGTTCAACTATTGCTTCACAGATTTCTAGTCTCAAGGAAAGCCTTGAACAGACAAGATTTGTGGCCTGGTTCGAATATTGCTTCACAGATTTCTAGTCTCAAGGAAATCCTTGAACAGACAAGACTTGTGGCCTGGTTCGAATATTGCTTCACAGATTTCTAGTCTCAAGGAAATCCTTGAAAAGACAAGACTTGTGGCCTGGTTCGAATATTGCTTCACAGATTTCTAGTCTCAAGGAAATCCTTGAAAAGACAAGACTTGTGGCCTGGTTCGAATATTGCTTCACAGATTTCTAGTTTCAAGGAAAGTCTTGAACAGACAAGACTTGTGGCCAAGCTCACCTTTTCGTTCAAGAGTTGGTTGTCGGGGTGACTTAATGGCACTTGTGATCAGACTTAGGGACTTGGCAGACACTGTGGATCAATGCTCACAATATCGACCTCTGGAATGCTTTCACTCCCAGGATTGTTTCTTTCTTAATTCATGAATATTATTCCAATCTGTGAAAAAAAAAATCACAAGGACTAAATTTCCACAGACACTGGTAAGGAAACAAGAAGATAAAATCATCAGCCAAGTTTCAGAATCACATGAGTATATTACTGTAGGTGATTCATACCGTGGGACTTTAAGCAGAAGAGCGTAACAAAATACTAATTGTGATTTGGGAAAGTTGGCAGCTGTGTAGTTTATAGCCTTGCTCCAAGGCTGTACTGAATGATAAGTCCATGGACGTGTAGTAATTCTATCCTTATAATTAATAGGCAAGTCTAGATGTAAGGATACCAGTCTCTTATAAGACAACTTTTCTTTTTATTTACATTATCTAGAAATTATGATTTCAACTAATAATTTTTGCCTTAGAGACTTGTGCAAGTCTCTGTAGTTAACTATGGGGGGGTGTTAGGAGGGCTGGCTAATGAGAAACAGGTGAGTACAAAGTGGTTAATGTTAAAGTCTGGTGATGCTGGCAGAATGTGTTTCACAAGATTTAGATGTAATTTTAGACTTACGACAGAAACAGGAAAATACTCTATATACTATAGCTGTCACCCAGACCCCGAGAGAAAAATATTAAAACGGAGACCAACTCAAGTCTAGAATGATTTGTCCGGTCTGGATTGCCTCAGCTTTAGTATTGTTCTGGCTCCATTTGGATATTTTGTTTATTTTGCAAATGTATATCTTTAGATAGCATAACTTTATTTCTGGGACTAAATGTCAGCCTAGACTATGTCCACTGTAGGCTCAATGTCAAAATGTACATAGAAGACGATATTCATGTTTTGCTTGTGTGTGATGCATATTCCTCAATTAAAAAAAATACATCAGAAATGAAAGTGCAGTAAACATATTAATAAATATAATAAACACTCATGATACACAAACAATAAGTGATCACTGTTTATAAGTGATCACTGTTTATAAGTGATCACTGTTTATACCTATTTAATGTGCAAACAATAATAATTATGTTCAATACCACTTAATATACCGGTACCTACTTCCAAGCATACAGGGGGCACTGCTCACGCCCCGACACGTATCATGATACTTGCTCTTACCTGTGTTGCGTAAGCCATCTTTTTCATAGACAGGATGGCCAAATACCTGGCACACGTTCATGACCAACTCGTGTTATTCCGGGACAAGCCGAATAGCGACTCGTGCCCCTCTCGTGGCCATTTTTGCAACCGGGTTCCGTCTTAGCGCAAACGGGCATACCTAATACAACTGTCAACTCGTTGTGCAATGGTTCACATATATTTCCCCATATATTATATATATTTCAGATGCAATTTAAAGCACATCTGGACATGCGGAATTATACAGTATGATTGAACACATTTAACTGTGTCTTGGGTATATTTTTAGATGCAAGACATATGTAAAAACAGAAATTATTTCTGAGGGATTCTTTGACAAAGAACTTGAAATCATACGCGCATTCTGATTGGTTTGTCGTATTTTCGCACATAACATTCATCGATAGGGGGACGCGTCTTCTTGCAGGTTACGGAAAGGGGCGAGTGGTGACGAATGACCTGGCACACTGTCGATCTACAGTTGGCAGTGTCATTGTATCCCAATTGCATGGATTAATGCTCATGATGTCAATCACTGGATTGTCTCCATTATTCACAGAACGCCGTCATATAGCTGGAATATTGCTGAGTGCAGCGTTAAACAACAAATAAACCATCAAACCAAGCATGACCGCCCGATCCATTTCCCTTGCCTCTTACGACCAGTGAAGGATGTTGGAGACCCATTCTAACCCTCCAGAACTATTCTGAGGTTGTCTTTTCAAATTTTATGGTTTTGGTCGATAAAACAAAAAATAAAAAAAGTGTTGCCTGAAAACTAGGTGCAGTTCTCACATTCAATGGATGCAATTTTGAATTTCTTCACTTAATTACTCAATTTACATGCTTGCCATAATTCTCCCTTTTGAAAGGCAACGTATGAGTAAATCTGATTTGATTTGTTTTCATGGATTATTCTGATTTTATTACTGAGAATATTTCCCACATTTCTGTCTTTGATTAAACTCAGTGCAATATCCCACTGATCAATGTCCAATCAAGCGACAGAGTTGAACAAACATGGAATATCGGCAGAGTGCAAACACCCATGCCCATCGTACAATCACAAAGTCCTCAGATCCGTTGTCATGTTGGTGGGCTGTTAGCTTTCTGAATAAAATTATTAGAAGCTTTTTACCCTATTCTCTGTGGTGTACCGTAGTCAGTGTAATAATGAACCAGCATTCGATAACTGTTTTGGGTGTAGGAGATGGGACTGGTAGGGAGGTTTAAAAAACAATGTTGCAGAAAATGAAAAAATAATTTGTTTAAAAAGAAGATGTGCTAAGTGTGTGTTGCGTGCATGCGTGCGTGGGCGTTTTTTTCCCTTAATGCCGGTATGACACATCCGGGAATAGAACAGCCAACCTTCGCTCTCCGTGCAGGCTCTCTATCCACCAGACTACGGAAAGCATCTTGTACAACTTGAAACTGAACGTAAAGAACATAGGATATCATGGGGTACAGAAATTATAAAATTTAAAATACAGAATGGAAGGGAAGACCTATCAAAGTGTGTATTAAAACGTTTATTTGATGAGGATATGTCATACATTGAATGCGGCAAAGACCAAACCCTAAGACTGGTGGACCAGTTCAGTTTTACGGACTGCAGCTCAAAAACGTTTAAAATATTTCCCAGAATCATAACTTACATATTGACCAAGTGGCCTGTTCACTTTTGTTTTATTTGGGGTGGGTAGGGGGTGGTCAGACTCGCTGTCTTGCTTGTTACATGTCATTGTATCCCAATTGTGTGGATTGATGCTCACGATATCGATCACTAGATTGTCTGGTCCAGACTTAATTATTTACAGACCGCCATCATTTAGCTGGAATATTGCTGAGTGCGACATTAAACAACAAATAAAAAAACAAACATTTTTAATTTTTAATTTTAGAAAAATTGTAACAGAAAAACAAGATGTAATATTACTGAAAGCAGGACTGGGCTACCATGGTGTCTTTATTCTTAGCACAATATGCTACACATGATTTCCAAACTTTACACGCTAATCTTGCACGAGACAAAAGGTACATCTCAAGTCATGGATCAATGTTGACACGTGATGTGTTAATGAGTGTTGACTCATGCAACATGACAGTATGTTCATGTGTGCATTGAACCAATCTAGTACTCTTGAATATGAGTAATTCTTCATATATTAACCAACCTGTATGTATTTGCGTTTCTTTTGTCGTTGAGTATATCGCCCCTGGTTATCAAATGGTCATGCATTCATTGTTCATATCTCTTGTTACAGATGAAACCCAAATATGGACTGGCAATATCACTCTGCCTCTGCATCGTCACCGTCATCATCAGCCTCTACTTCCTCGACGACCTCACACTCAAGGTGCCGCCGGTGCAAGTCGTAGTCCTTCCGAAATCGGAAAAAGAAACGCTGTCTCAGATTGGAGATGGGCCCGTCCACGCTCCCGTGATACTGAACGACATCGAGATAGAGGTAGCCAACTCCAGCAGGGAACAAATCCCCCAGCATGCCGGTGTCGAACTGAAAAACATATCCCGACACCTACAGCTTAACGCTCTCCTCCCCAGTAATCGTGATAGATTTCTACTCAATCATTTCCAAAATGCAAGTTTGCGCAAAACGAACTCCAATCGTGAGAAATATATAATATATTATTGCCGAAAAAATATCACGTGTTGTGGATGGGGTGATCGGCAGCATGGGATACTGTCGGCATATGTTATATCTTTAGTGACAAACCGAACGTTCGGAGTCGATATGTCCTCTCCGTGTGTGTTATCCAATTTATTCCACCCAAGGAAGTTGAACTGGAAAATAAATTCAACATTACTTCAAGGTCTTTCTACGAAATATTTATATACAGTTAACGATAAAGTCTTTCGACAGCTGATTGGTCAGATCGACTTCGATGCTGTGTATCCCCAGGATGTTGTGTACCTTACAACAAACTATGACTACTTCTACGCCTTGAAAAATAATCCTTACTACAAGACGATATTTCGTCAAAAACTGAAAACCAAGCCACGGCCAATCGTGTTCGCCGATCTGTGGCAGAATATCTTTAAGCTCAATAGGCGTGTGAAGAGACGATTGACAACTGCTTTGGCTAAAGCAAAACCTACGGAGAACTTCAAGCTTGTTTGTGCTCATTTACGATTCGGTAAGAATCCCACCATCCCATGGGATTCAGAAGTGAGGAATACAATGGAGTCCGTCTCGGTGGTGTGGGACTTCTTCAAGAAGTACAAAGATCATCATAAGTATAGAATATTTGTAGCAAGCGATTCCGACAACGTTCGCTCAAAAGTTATGGAGCTGTTTCCTTTACAGAACGTGGAAATAGAAGGCGAAATCATTCATATCGATAAAACAAAGAGAATAAAGATTGATCCATGTACTGGCTTTGAGAAGGTGCTTGCTGACCAGTACTTCTTGAGTATGTGCGATGTGCTTGTGTTAACCTACAGTGTGTTCGGCAAAGCAGCTGCTTATATGCGGAGGTCAAATAACGACCTCTACTTTCTGGAGGACGGACAGATTAAGCCCTTGAAGGTCTTCAATGACCGACTCTTGTTTGAGAATGCTCAATCAAAGTCTTGATAAACACTCAACTTTAAACTGTTGCTAGTCATAGAAAATATCCAGACATTTTGAATGAGAAACATGCGACTCTGACCTTCATATTGCTCTCACTGTTTCTTAATTTATTCAATTTTATTCAGTTGTATGGAAATGGAAGGGGTTTTTTTTCAAATTAAGACCTGCCTTTTTTTTAAATTGGTTTCCAAATCCACTGACTCCACAAAACTGTGTTTTTTTATTCTGCCAATCTAAAATAAGTATTCGTTTTTAAAAACACACTCATGTACTGTTGCTAGTTATATCAATAAATTAATTAAATTTATAATTAAAACCTGTTGAAAATTTATCTTAAACACCTGGTTGCCACTATATATTTCCCACCTACTTTAAACATTTTTAGTAAACCAAAAATAATATTGTGTAATTGGATATTTTTAAACTTATCCTATCTCATTCTATGCATTTCTCATTCTTCTTTCGATCCTAAGCGGCAACGTGCCAAAGGTTTCCAGCTTCTAAAAAAAAAACAATCCACCTGCCCCCCCCCCTAGCCCCCGGAAGTCGCTTTTGCATGAGTTGTTAGGTACGACAATCCTTTTGTGGATATTGTCGATCGTTCTTCTTCTTGTCGGAGCACGGGTGGCCCAGTCGTCTAAGGCGCCGCGATTCGCTGTGCAGAGTTGCGTCCCTTGGGCACGCCAGAAACCTATGATTGTGGGTTCGAATCCCGGTTCGCCCCAATTATGTTTCTAGGTTTGTCAGCACCATACCCGTGCTCGTGGGTTTCACCGAAGTGGTAAACGTCTGAGACCTACATCACTTCGGGCTTTCCTCCCACATTAAGCTGACATGCCGCAATATAACTGGAATACTCACTCACTCACTCTTCTTCTTGTCTTAACCTATCGCTTCAATCCTTGAGGCATTATTGATGGTTTTTGACGACTCGTAAAAAGAGATGCCAAGCTAGCTTGTCCTATCATCAATGGAGATAGTGATACCCCGGTCTTGTTGTTTTGATTGGCTGGAGTGCATCTCCGAATCGATTATAAGTTGAACATTGTATTGTGTGGCTTACAATTATGCTTCTTTATGTATGAACAAGTTTCACATTCTATTCCCGATCTCATGTGTTTCATTTGTTCACGGGGGGCACGGGGGGCCCAGTCATCTGAAGCTGATTCATTTGCAGAGTTGCGTCCCTTGGGCATGCCAGAAACCTATGATTGTGGGTTCGAATCCCGGTTCGCCCTGATTATGTTTCTAGGTTTGTCAGCACCATACCTGTGCTTGTGGGTTTCACCAAAGTGATAAACATCTGAGACCTGCATTACTTCGGGCTTTCCTCCCACATTAAGCTGACACACCGTGATATAACTGGAATACTGTTAAACACAATTCACTTGCAATTCACACATTTGTTCACGTATCAGGGTCACAACACTATTTTTTGAGTGTTTCCTCCCTATCCACAAGTTTTTTCTTTATGACACCGGACAGTGTTGCCGTACATAATATTTGTTCTGTATAACTGTTTGGCACCAGCTTCCTCGTGTGTATCCTACGGTTGTTTCCTTGATGGGATGGGGTTTGCACCCCAGCCTCCAACCATGGGATAAATGCATAGTGTGAGATAGGATAAGTTTAAAAATGTGTAAATTTTACAATAACTCATCCTATAGATCCTATATTATACTTATCCTATCTCACACGTTATATGCCCATCCGTCCACCCCCACATCACAATTCCTCCAGCCTATTAAACCCCAGAAAGAGAATGAGTTGGCTGGGGGAACCACGTGTTGAGTGCGTGGGGGTCGACCAGCATGAAAAGCGAGTTGTGAGGTAACCATAGTGATGCTATGTGTGTTCGGGTGGATTGTTTTTTAGAAGCTGGAAACCTTGTTTAGGCACATTTCCACTTGGCATCAAAAGAAGAATGAGAAATCCATAGTTTGAGATACGATAAGTATATAAATGTACAATTTATTGTAAAATGTTTTAAAAAATGACTTATCTACCGACCTGAATTTGGGGGCCAAACATTTGTAACCCCCCCCCCCCCCCAAAAAGTCTATCTAATGTCTATCCTTATGAAGACATAGTGATTTCAAGCTGTCAAAGTGAAAAGGTAATAGTTTGATTTAGGGCAAACTATTTGGCCAAATGACCTTTTTTATTAACTAAAATCATGATGCCTAAACTATTTGCTGGTTCATCTAAAAGTTTAGCTCCCACTTTCATTTTGTCATTTAATAAACCAAAAAAGGAAATGGCTTTAAATTGGTCTTGTTAAATCAATGTCTAGTTTCCCCTGTCCTACTCTCTTTTAATGTCTTCTATGTGTCTAAAAATAAATAAACACTGTTAATAAACGTCCTTTTCAAATAAAGTTGTGTTTTGGGTACTAGATTCCAAACTGTTAGTAGTAATTTAACTTTTGTTATAAAAGCTCACAAGTGTACAAATTCATCAAGGAATTTAGCATGCTTTAATACATCAGAATCATATTTACATTTATAGATTAATGAACTGGTAAAGAAATAAAAGAATAAAAAAGAAATAAAACATGAGAAATGAAAATATTTTTAGTGGTCTTACAGAAATAATCATGAAATAGTTAGCTCCCATTGACTTCCTCTCTTAATTATCTGTCTTAATATTGCTAAATAATCAACGCTTTTCATTCACAGCAGTTACTCCCCTGGGTGTTATAGGTTGAGCTGGCCCCTAACAACCTGTGCTTGTCATAAAAGGCGACTTACTGGATCAGTTGGTCAGGCTCAGTGGTTTGGTTGATGGCACAATCTCATTAAAATCAAATCTTAGTTCTTGCTACAGCTGAGCAAAGATCTGAAGACATCCCATTTCGGGTCACATCAGAATGACCTTTATCCGACCAATCAGAGTGTCGCTCACCAGATCATGAAAGTGACAGTCCAAATGTGTTTTCTAATCATGCAACCTTCAACCAGAGACCATATCTATTATATGGTCTCTGCTTGAACAATTTTTACACAGGGTATTCCGAAAGACAGTTGCAGGCTTTCTGACTGAATCCATACAATCTCGGCCATGTATTAGCCATTCTAGGCATAGATGTTCTTTTGTTCAGGTTTCAAATTTTTAATCAAGAATTTGTCAAAATATGTTTCGAAATGTAGTCGCCAGTTTGAAACTGGTGCCGTAAAGCACGAGAAACTGCCTTCTAATAATGTTGACTTCTTGTCACTCTGTTGGTCTGTCAAAGTTTACGAAAGGTTGGTCTGACATGACCCGTAATGGGATGTCCTCAGATCTTTGTTTAGCAGTAATGAAAACTAAGATCTGATTTGAATGAGATTGATCCCGACAGACTCACCTGTTTACAAACAGTCATCATGTTGCATAAATATTGCTGACTCGGCGTTGAACAAATATATATCTGTTATCACTCTGGATTTCTTGTAACCGGGGAAGGAAATATGACATATTACCAACTCACCTTTACAGTGTCGGAGTCACAGCATTACCTGGGATCATCGGTTTTGTGGTTTATTATGAACAATGTTTGCATTTAGTATATTACAGTTGTTTACGGTGAATATTATCATACGAGAGTCGTAAGAGAAAGACTGTGTTACTTTCTTCCTTCTTATTCCATTTGCCAAATCAAATGAGAAATGATTTGTGTTTCGATCTCACATATTCTACTCAACTTTTGATAGGGTTACAAGATGTTTCATGCCATGAGGTCAACTTTTCAAATACCGTATTCGACGTAATAAGCGCCCCGCTCTAATAAGCGCCCACGGCGACATTTGATAATATATTGGCTAGTGAACAATTCCAATTAGCACAACTTCGGATTGATCAATGTACACAAGACTTATTTATTAGCATATAATATGCACTCGTGTGTTATATGCCCCCTTAATTATAGGCAATTAGATTCTGGAAAAATATATCTGTCGTATATAAACATTTCAGGCTGTCAGCATAAACCACGAAATTTATCTTTCAACTCTGTTGTTTTACACCAAAATAATATTCAAATAAGAGCCCCCTATTTCTAATTTTGAGAGCGCCCTGGGCGCTTATTACGTCGAATACGGTAATAATGACGAAAGTATGTCAGTTCAATTCTATATGCTATTTGTGCAACATCTTGTAGTGCAAATAACGCCGCGATATAACTGGAATACTGTTAAAAGCGGTGTTAAACCCAACTCACTCACTCCTATATTGCAAATACTATATACTATTTGTATGACAACATCTCATTGTGCAAATACTACCGTATATCGCTGTGTATAAGGCGAATTCCATACTTAGGATTATGGGGCTTTCAAGGGGGTTGTTTTATACACAGGGTTGAAGAGTTTTGATGTTTTTTCCCCAACACAAAGACATTACTGTGAGGACGAAACACTGGAAATACAATATCAACAGCTCTATAGTGAAGTACGCAAACTAATCATGTAATTACAAACTTTAGTGGATAGAGGAGATATATATATATATATCATAAATGCCATACATTGACTCGCTGACAGTTTTCACTATTGCAAGCACGGGAGCATCGACAGTAATTGGTAAAATTGTTCCATAAGAAAAATTATCCAGCAATAGCGATCAGCTGTACCAAAGACCTATGCTTATGGTTATTCATTTATTTAAAATATTTATAGTAAAACACTACTAAAATAACATTATATTGGTATAAATTATTCCAGATAAAATAGTAGTCTCAGATACAGTTCTTCCGATCATTGTATCAAAATTCTTTAAAGTTATATTATTGGGTAACTTTTAACCGAATCATCAGTAGATTCCAAGAAACGTGTGTACAGCTGATTGCTGCTACCAGCTTAGTTTACGAGAAAATACATCGTAATCTCTGTATATAAAACAATCCCTATAAGAAGAGGAAATTTGATTTAATTTTAATTTAATTTAATTTAATCGGTAAACCATCATGTCTAGTGCTTTTTTATCTCAAATTTTAAATATATATTGACCAAATCCAATTGTTTTGATCTGTTCGTTTCCCTGAATTCGCTAAAGGGATACAATATAATTTTCTTCGGAAGACAAACACGTTTTTATTGCAAATGTAGGGATTGTTTATGCATTGGTGACATGCTTCATTCCGAAAGTAACATTGATTTTGAAGGCTTGTACAGGGGGTTGCGTTATAGACAGCGCTATACGGTAAATACTATTTGTATAACAACATCTCATAGCCATGAACCACATTCAGCCAGTGATAAGGTTGACCAGTGGTTAAAGCTTCGCTCATTGCACCGCAGGACTGGGTTTGATTCCCAACATGGAGACAATGTGTGAAGCATGATGTTGCGGGGATTAAAGAAAAAACGGTGTAAAGCCTTTGCTCACCGATTTTCCCCCTCTCTCCATATCAGCCCCCATAGCGAATAATACGTGCATACCAGTATACCCAGTGTTAGATATACCTGTCTGCTCGACTGTCCAATATGGGCCCTTTTCGTCACGGGTGGTCAGCTTTTACAACATATAAATCCGATGGTCTGGCTGATTTAAAAAAGATTAGATTAACTTAAAAAGCATCTAAGTAAAGAATTTCTCTCGGACAGGGGCAAGTATTAAGTATGACAAGTTTCTGTGATTAATAATTTTGGGTCATTTATTAAATGCAACTCATACTACAAGTTCTTATCTTTCATCTTACCAAGCATCTTCCCCAGGCAAGGGAGTTAACTGACTGTAAAAGTCCAGTTTCCAATCTTGCAGA